AAGGATAGGAGAAAGTTCGAAAACAGTCCATTCTGTGAGAGAAAGAACTGTTTGAGGCCAAAAGTTTGAGGACTTTATCCTACTTAAAACAATTTTTTATTGTTGACTTAATAAACTTTTTTCAATGTTATGTAGCTAATATTTACTTGTACATGTATGACTTTGATCTTTGTATTGTGGAAAGGACTTATATAGGCAGTGCCTGCTGTCCAATCCTATTATGTCCAATCATAATAAAATATTGTTTAAATAATAAACTGACCGAGGTTATTTCATTTCTAACATCCTCATCAGATGAAGAAAGGTTCATTTTAACTCTGTCAAAATATAGGCCAAAAATGGTTATTGAACTGATTTGCGCATAAGCCGAAACCTTTGTATGCAGATTTTTCAGTCGATATTCAAGTTTTCACAATAACTATCGTAAATCTTTGTGAACAAGCAGGATTTAAGCACACTAAACAAATATTTTCCTAAGAGTATTAGTGGCGACCTGCTAGTATGAAGACTGGATTGACGAAAGCTAATAACACAGACAACGGGTCACCAGCAGAGATGTAGTGAAATGATTCATGGAGGGTGTGTGTGTGTGTGTGGGGAGGGGGTTCATGCGATGGCAAGTGTATAGAAATTTATTATCCCTGTCCCAGAAATGATTCCACCTGTAGTGAATCTAGTGAGATTATCATTTCATCAGAAAATATGTCGTTATCTTTGAAATTACACTTTGAATTGCTGTTGGATATATTTTTAAACTTTCCTGGAATTGATCTACCACGGCCAGCATCCATTTACAAATGTTGTTAAAAAGATTAGACGTGTATTTACTCATAAAAAAACTTCCGGATGTGCATGTCGTAAAATTATGATATATCAGGATATTACATATTTTAAAGTGTATTTTTCGCATTGGATGATAAATATATTGTTGAACATGCTATAATCTTTGTGTTTTAGTACATTATATAGCATAATATATTTGGATATCCTTTGTGTTTTAGTACAATATATAGCAAAATATATTTGGATATTTATAAACTGTACTTAAGGATATCCGATCCTCAGCCAAGAAGGATAACTCCAAAAATTAATATTTAATTCAAAAAGCATCAATATGAGGCTTGAAGATGAAAACTTTTCATGAAACAATTTTCATTTTATTCATCTTTGTATGATTCAAGGTTTTATGGAAGTCTTTGAAAAGGTCATATAAAAAGTTGACATTTGTACCTCATAAAAGGAAAAACAATAAATACAGTTTTAGAGAAGTAATAATTTCTTGAATCTTGCCTTAGATACCAATGTTTATTGACATGATATGAAAATTAAAAGTAAATTGTGATGTCTTGCAATGATACCAAAAGCCTTTAACACTACGTATTATATAATAAATGAAGGAAATAGAAAACATAGAATACCAAATAAGTATTAAAATCATGACAATTTCTCTGAATGCCTAGATACCTTATGTTTTTTACCTTAAATATATTTGTTGATCAATTTGCAATTAGAAAATGCATAGCTGATATTCCTATTCGCTTTTTCTAAATATACATTGGGAATTTGACAATTTTTGCTATATAATATGATTAACTTTAATGTTTAACTTTCAAGAAATATTGTGGATAAATTAGAATTATTTTGTGGATTCAGAGATATGTTTATGAGTATTTCCGGTTACTTAACTGCTAATTTTATTAACCTGAGGATCGGACTACCTTAAGTCACCTGTAACTGTACATTAAGTTGACAAAACTGTCAATTCTTAACGTAATCGACAGCTTTTTTTTCAACTTAGTGTACTAATGTTAAAAGCAAGAAAAATACAAAAAAGTCAAATTATTTCTTGGACAACAGTACTGAAAAAAGCTAATTTAAATATAGTGCTATTTTGTTAGATAATCGATATCTTCAATGAATGTGATTCCTAGATTTTAATAAGCTTAAGGCATATATACATTTCTTACACATAAAAAATGTAAAAAATCAAGAATTTCTTTCAGAAAAATATTTATTTACGTTTTGTTTCCAGCCAAAAATTCTGCATCATTTTTTTGTCTCATGTATATTATTATATATATTAAATGAAGTATGAAGAGAAATCGATCATAATTGCGCTTACAATATACTAATAAAATTAACAATTTTTCCTTTGTTCATCTAATTTAGTCCTTCTTTTTCAAGCAAACTTGATAGGGAACAGCAACGCGAAATCCCTCAGACGTCCCTTCTAGTGACGGAAGGGGGTTTCCAGCCTCGTTTTCAATATCGTAGTCCCGTACCAGTGTTGTTAGGAAAAGAAATATTTCCATTTTAGCAAGACTTTTACCTAGACAGTCTCTGGGACCTAAAATATTTGTTGTTTAACATTAATTATGTACTAAATAAATACTTAAAGTTTGATACTACGATTAACTATGATACTTTACTTTAAAACTTTCTTTGAAGTGTAAAATCTCTTAAGTGTTGTAACAGTGATAAAAGATGGAAGTAATAATATGTGAATATATCAGGGATATTTTCTATTTTTTTAAAAGAAATGTTCATTTGTGAATTGGAGAGCGTATAATAAATCAATATGAAAGTAATAGTAAAAATACTTTGATTTTGCTACATTAAAAACTTTGATACTTTAATTCACTTAAGTTAATTATAGTAAACTGTAGATAACTATATATAGTAATTTTGCTCAAATGATTAACTATCTGACAGAAACGAAATACATAAAAAACAAAAAAAAATTGGAAACGATTATCGATGCATGAAAATCATACCCATTGAAAAGGATGAATAAACATTTTCATATCCAAACAACTGGCCGTTTTCGTTAATGAATCGTTCTGGTTTAAATTTTTCAGGTTCTGGAAATATGTTCGGATCCAAGTTGACTGTACACAAGGCCGCCATCAGCCAAGCACCTTTTGGTAGCGTGTATTCATTGACCGTAAGGTCCTCTGAGAACATGTGTGTTGGCGAAAGATTCACCTTGGTGAAAGACATACGAAGGACTTCATACATAACTGCACGACAGTAAGGGAGCTTCTCTTGGTCTGCCATGGTAACCGGTTTATTGGTTTCAACATTTTCTTGAATTTCTTTGTGCATGCGCACCACTACATCTTGGTTGTACATAAGGTACAAAATGAACCAATATAACACTTCAACGACCGGGATACTGGTGAAGTATAATGCATATCCCAAAATTAGGATGTCCCTATCTGAAACAGGAAATGCATGTATATCATCATACATTTTTTATACCCGTATATTATTGTACAAAAGTACAATACTGAAATGTGCAATGCTGACAAATTTTGACCACACCTTTCAATAACATTCGAACCTTTTGGGTCTGTTTCTTGCGTTTTAGAACAAGTTTGAAAAACTTTTTTACTTTTTTACTTCAATGGATGCTAATAAAACTACTTTACAATTACATCAAGATTCATTTAACTCCTTTGATCGAATGAGTTTGCGAACATTTTTCTGAAGGAAATGAAAAGCTTGGAACTTTGTCGTTTGATCATGTTTAGATATTACGAGACTATAAATTTTACCCAATGGTATCTCATTACCTAGATTCAGACACAGCATATTATTGATGATTGGTATTTTTCAAAGGTTGAAAAAAAATGTATTGAAACAAGTTACCTTTATTTAATTTTCTTTTTCCTTGCTCCTTTAAAAAGCTATAAATAAAATCGGAGGTCTTTGGATTTTCCAGTGTTTCCTTGTGCTCGTCAATAGATTTCTGAACGATTTTGAAAATTTCATTAACGAGGAATCGTCTCCTTCTAACTTTGAATGGATCCCCTGGTACGTACTTCAGCCATTCCATAAAGTTTAAAGCTAACTGTTCATTAACTATTTTCATGGCTTCATCAAGTAGATCCACCAGTCTTGTGAGAATGCCATCCTCATGCGCAAATCTTTTTCCAAAACGGAAAGACGATATGATGTTGTAGTGGCTTGTTTTGATAAGTCTGTCCACATCAGAGGGTGTCCCCTTCATCTTGTCTATTTCCTGAAGGAAGTCGGGTAGTTCTAAAACCCGGGATTCGAGATTGTTACTCCCTGAGTCAATTGAGCGGAATGCTTCGTGTCCAAATTTTCTTTGATTCCTCCATTTTGTTCCGGATGCCCCCAACATGCCTATAAATAAATAATAACTGTGTTTTTCCATGTTTCAGAATATTTTTTTTTACACAAGACTCTTCTGTAGCACAGATCGCACGTAAATGAGCATAAATAAAAAACATGTGATTAAAAATTTCTGTGTTGAAAATTGCATTGTCATTTAATTCAAATTTTCATCTTGTATTGAATGAATTATTTGTCCACATCCAAAGACAATGAATCTAAATATCTCATTGAATTATACACTTTAACAGACAACTACACTTATAACTCAAAGCATAAAAGCTTGCTACATCTACCTATGGCACGCTAAATTCACAAAAATGAGCTAAACATAGTTTCACAGTTGATAAAATAGGTTTATCGACTGTAAACTATAGTTTACAAACCGTGAACTATACTTCACAATTCGTTTAATGTAGTTTTAATCTGTAAAACTATATTTAACGGTTGTTAACTATAGTTTAAGAATGTCAGTCTAAGTTTATCTGTCTGTAATGAAGCGTTAACAATAGATTTTGTGGATAAACATAGATTCACGTTTGTAAACTATAATGTGCAATGATTATCGTAAACTATACTTAAGATTTTTAATCATAGTTCCACAAATTGTGAAACTGTATTTATCAAATCGTTAACTATAGTTAAGAGTTGCAAACCATATATTACAAATCGTGAAACTGTATTTATTAAATAATCTATGTTTTGTTATCGCAAATGATTGTTTTTGGTGTTAAGTATAGTTTACGGCTGTGAAACATAGATTATCGCGTTAACTATGGTTTACAGATGTAAAATATAGATTAACAATGTTAACTATAGTTTACAGTCCGTAAACTATAGTTTTCAACCGATTAACCTAGTTTATCAACTGTGAAACTATGTTTAGCTCATTTTAGCTCACCTGAGCCGAAAGCTCAATTCTTTCCATCGTCCGTCTCCGTCTGTCTGTCTAGCTTTCCGTCTGTCTGTCTGTAAACTTTTCACATTTTCGACGTCTTCTCAAGAACCACTGAGCCAATTATAACCAAATTTGGTACAAAGTATCCTTGGGTGAAGGGATATTTAAACTGTAACAAGAGGCCCATGGGCCACAACGCTCACCTGAGCACTGTGACTAGGAAAAAGTAGTAATTGGTTAATTATTGAAAATTTTAAATCCAAAAGCAGTCCCATGATCAATCATGCATTTGCTATATTTGAGATGATTTTGAAAGAATTTTCCTATATATATCTATGTAAAACTTTGGTCAGCCATTTTGGCCCAGCCCTACCCCTGGGGTCATGATTTGAACAAACTTGAATCTACACTACCTGAGAATGCTTCCATATAAATATGATGAATTATGGTTTTGTCATTCTTGAGAAGATTTTGAAAGAATTTTCCTATATATTTCTATGAAAAAATTTGGTCAGCCATTTTGGCCCAGCCCTACCCCTGGGGTCATGATTTGAACAAACTTGAATCTACACTACCTGAAAATGCTTCCATATAAATATGATGAATTATATGGCTTTGTCATTCTTGAGAAGAAACTTTTTAAAGAATTTTCTTATATATTTCTATGTTAAACTTTGGTCGGCAATTTTGGCCCCACCCTACCCCCGGGTTCAAGATTTGAACAAACTTGAATCTACACTACTTGAAAATGCTTCCATATAAATATGATGAATTATGGCTTTGTCCTTCTTGAGAAGAAACTTTTTAAAGAATTTTCCTATTTATTTCTATGTAAAAAGTTTGTCGGCCATTTTAGCCCCGACCTATCCCCGGGGGTCATGATTTGAACAAACTTGAATCTACACTACCTGAGGATACTTCCATATAAATATAATGAATAATGGCTTTGTCATTCTTGAGAAGAAGATTTCTAAAGAAATTTCCTATAAATTTCTTTGAAAAACTTTGGTCGACCATTTTGGCCCTCTCCTATCCTCGGGGGTCATGATTTGAACAAACTTGAGGAAACTACCTGCCACTACCTGAAGATGCTCCCATGAAAATATGATGAATTATGGCTTTGTCATTCTTGAAAAAAAGGTTTTTAAAGAATTTTCTTATATATATTTTTTTGTAAAACTTTGGTCGGCCATTTTGGCCACGCCCTACCCCCGGGGGTCATGATTTGAACAAATTTTAATCTACACTACATGAGGATGTTTCCCCATTAGTTTCATCTTTCCTGGCACAGAGGTTCTTCAGAAGAAGATTTTTAAAACATGCCACCAAATTTTCATTAATTCCCAATTATCTCCTCTTGAATGAGGGCGTGGCCCTTCATTTGTACAAACCTGAATCCCCTTAACCCAAGTTTGCTTTGTGGCAAGTTTGGTTAAAATTGGCCCAGTGGCTCTTGAGAAGAAGTCGAAAATGTGAAACGTTTACAGACAGACAGACAGACGCCGGACAAAATGTGACCAGAAAAGCTCACTTGAGCTTCCGGCTCAGGTGAGCTAAAAATGAGGGGCCATGTCCTCTCACAAGGGGAGATAATCAAGAAAAAACAAAAATAGGGTGGGGTCATTAAAAATTCTTTTTCTCAAGAACCACTGGGCAAGAAAAGCTGACACTTATGAGGAAGCATCAGGGGGTAGTGTAGTTATTAGATTGTTCAAATCATGACCCCGGGGGTTCGACGGGGCCGCAATAGTGAATCAAAGTTTTACATAGAAATATATAGGAAAAGTCTTTTAAAATCTTCTTCTCAAGAACCACTGGGCCAGACAAGCTGAAACTTTTGTGGAAGCATCCAAGAGAGTGTAGATTCTTAATTGTTCAAATTTTGACCTGTGGGGCAAGATGGGGTCACAAAAGGTATTACATGTAAAATGGGGAATTCTGGTTAAGAATAGCATGATCAAAGCTTCTCATGTGAGCGATGTGGCCCATAGGCCTATTGTGAATTTGGCGTGCCATATGTACCTGATAGTTCAAAATATTCTGAAAATCCAAACGATGCAGTGTGGGCAGATGTTGATTCGTCATGCTTAACTAGAACTTCTTTGATTGTGTCATAACCACAGACGACAATGATAGTTTGACCAACGACCTTCAACGTTATCAGATCACCGTGTTTCTTCTGGAGGTCACTGAAATTATAAAACATCTGTGTTCAAAAACAGTTGATTTTTTAAATGTACACTAGACAAAATTGCTAACGCACCACCTAAGAGAATTAATATTTTACTTTTAAAAACTTGTTTATCATGCATTTGATATATAAATAATTATGTTACTTGAACAAAAAATAAGGCATATTAATGTAAAATCTTATAAATAACTACAATGTTTATTGAAGTGTGACCTATTCATGGACAAGAATAAATTCGTGTCTATTCCCTTTTTAAAGAAAAAAAATCAATTTTTTCTTTGATTTGTGTTCTTTCCATTTGTACTAATTAAAAAAAAAGTTACACCATATGCGGCGTTTGATGCTAGAAGAGCGTGCATAAGCAGACAGGATGGCGTCTGCAGGGGGTTCCTTTAGAAAAATATGTAAAAATAAAAACAATAAAAAACTTATGAAATTCACTCATAAAAAATTGTTCCAAATAGATTAATAAACATACAAATGTTTACTATAGATAACCGCGACAACTAGTTAACTGTGGGATTACTCCTGTGGCAATCTCACAAACCCCTTTAGTGATCAAGAATTTCATATCCGTGCAAAAATGGTGCGCAGTGCACAGCTGAAAATTTGTTTTCGGAGAAGAAGGTAATTCAGTTATTTTTTTATGATGCCAAGACGTTTGTCAATCCAACTGCTTTTGAAATAATGCCATATAATATACACTAGAACCGATCCGGCAAATGTTCAATTCACAAATAAAAATTAACAGGTGCGTTAGCCATGTTTGCTTTCTCTTTCTACACGTATGATTACTTTCTCTTTGTATAGTACTTTATGATTACTTTCTCTTTGTATAGTACTATATGTTTACTTTCTCTATCTACATGTATGTTTACTTGCTCTCTTTATATTTATTGTATCTTAACTTACACTACAGTACTACTATTAAGTTTTAATTGAAACTGCAATTTGAAATTTTTTATAATTTTAATTAAATTATAATTAAATTATTCATTTTAATAGCTTCATGTATAGCTTTATATAATGTTTTAAAGAAGAAAATACATACAATAGCATAGCAGCATCTGGTTTGATGTCTATGTTTCCCACGAGCAGACGTCCAGGTTCCCTGGGCGGGAGATTCCCATCATCACGTGACCAAAACATCGCCAGAAAACCGACCAATAGAGCAGTAGTTAGGAAAATAACTGGCAGAGATATTGACTTCTATAAAAAATATAGACTAGCTATCACACATTTACTAAGGCAAATTATTCTCTCTCTCTCTCTCTCTCTCTCTCTCTCTCTCTCTCTCTCTCCCACAGAATGCTTAACATATATCCTTGGAAGAGACACGTTCATTTAGAACTGGCAAATGTTCTGAGATACTGATAATTATGAATGTATGAATTGTCTGAATAATCATTCCTAGAGACCATACATTCTATTTAGATGATATAAAAAGATATTCTGCTTCCTCAATATAATGTTGTCCCTCGTAATTTTCATAACTTGTGATTGGTTTTCTAATAATTTAATTTCAGCTGTAACACGTCATTTGATTGGGTAAAAGATTTAATCCATGTCGTATAACATGACTTGCCTACCTCACAATGAGTTACGTCAAAAACGTATCACTCCGCTTGACGTTACTTTTGAAATAATGCTCAATTCGAAGCCTTTTTCCGGAGGAAATATTATCTCATTCTCTACATTGAAATTCAATTATAAGAAATGAAGCTAATTTTAAATTATGTTATCCGATATAACAAAACTTGGGGCAGTTTACGCTTATTTTTAAACAGCTTCGCGGTTTATAAAGCCTAAATTGCCCCAAGTTATGTTATATTGGATAACATAAGTTGAAATAAGCTTCATTCCTTCCCTAACAAAAAAAACTATAGTAAACTATAGTTTACTATAGTTAACTATGGTTTACTATAGTTAACTATAGTTTTCGCCAAAGTTTTTCAAAGTGTCAAATTTTTTGCACAAGTTTTTCAATGTGTCAAAGTTTTCATCAAAGTTTTCCAAAGTGTCAAAATTTTCGTCAAAGTTTTTCAAAGTGTCAAAGTTTTCATCAAAGTTTTTCAAAGTGTCAAAGTTTTTGTCAAAGTTTTTCAAAGTGTCAAAGTTTTCGCCAAAGCTTTTCAAAGTGTCAAAGTTTTCGTCAAAGTTTTTCAAAGTGTCAAAGTTTTCGCCAAAGTTTTTCAAAGTGTCAAAGTTTTCGCCAAAGTTTTTCAAACTGTCAAAGTTTTTCGCCAAAGTTTTTCATAGTGTCAAAGTTTTCGCCAAAGTTTTTCAAAGTGTCAAAGTTTTTCAAAATGTCAAAATTTCGCCAAAGTTTTTCAAAGTGTCAAAGTTTTCGACAAAGTTTTTCAAAGTGTCAAAGTTTTTCGCCAAAGTTTTTCAAAGTGTCAAAGTTTTCGCCAAAGTTTTTCAAAGTGTCAAAGTTTTCGCCAAAGTTTTTCAAAGTGTCAAAGTTTTCAACAAAGTTTTTCAAAGTATCAAAGTTTTCGCCAAAGTTTTTTAAAGTCTCAAAGTTTTCGTCAAAGTTTTTCAAAGTGTCAAAGTTTTCCATAAAGTTTTTCAAAGTGTCAAAGTTATCACTATAATAAATCAAAGTTTTCAAAGTGTCAAAGTTACAACTATAGTTAACTAAAGTAAACTATAGTTAACTATAGTATTTTTTTGTTAGGGTTAACAAAATTACAGTATTAAAATCATTCTGATTCTACACACAAGTGCATTGACTGAATTTGATCTTAAACGAACGCTCCCATACAAAACATACAGTGTACTTGTGTTTGTCTGGATTTTGATATACTCATATCTTTATTACGTCTTACAATTTATGATAAAAATGATTGATTTTGAGTCTTAATAACGATAAATAACACAAACAAACTCTCATGATAGATTTATATTTGAATTGGTACCCTTAATAATGTTTACCAAGTATGGTGGGAAATTCTTTAAAAGACTTTATTATAAGATTAGACATTTGTGCAAAAATTTGTATGGACGCAAAAGAAAGTGCCATATCTAAGCGCCAAGAGAAAGAAAGTGCCATATCTAAGCGCCTAGTCCGAAAAATCTGACGTTTTCCTGGCCTTTTTAGATTTTTATATTTTACATGCCAGGATCAAAATCGAAAAAAAGTCTGGCAAACGTCAGATATTTCGGACTACTAAGCGCCAAGAGAAAGAAAGTGCCATATCTAAGCGCCAAGAGAAAGAAAGTCATATCTAAGCGCCAAGAGAAACCTACGGTTTTTTTTATATTTCATGGGTATATTATTTATGTAATTTCAAACCAAAATTAGTAAAAAAATAGATACCAATCCATGCATCATTTTTTGTTGTGTTAAGTGTTTTTGTTGTGTCATTCATGCGAAACAGCACTTCATAGTATAATCGAAAAATGGTTACAAAACATTGAAACTGGTGTTTTATTTGTTGATCTTAGCAAAGCATTTGATACTGTGAATCATAATATACTTCTCCACAAATTACTTTCTTTTGGAATTTGCAAAGACTCGTTTAATTGGTTCAAATCGAATAGGACACAGTGTGTTAGATGGAATGGTACTCAGTCAGAAAAATTAGACATAACTATAGGCGTCCCTCAAGGGTCAATGCCAGATGCTTAAAACACTCCGCGGCTCACAAAAACTCAGGATGTCTCAGATAAGAGTATCGATGTTATTGAAAATAAATTACATAGCGATCTTATCAATACGCTAGATTGGATGGAGAAAAACAAATTAACAATCAATCTTAAAAAAACTCAGTGCATGTTAATTGGTACGGAACCTGTAGGAATTTATGTATTAAAGTGGGTAGTATTGTGATTGAAAATGTATCTTGTGCGAAAAGTCTACATTGACAAGTGTCTTACATGGTCTGAACACGTTGAAATTCTAACGAAATGACTTGCTTCCAAAATAGGTATTTTGTCTTGATTAAGATCATTCATGAATTATTGTTAAAAATCTTTAATACAATTGTTTTTCCCCATTTTAATTATTGCTGTACTGTTTGGGGCAATATGAAAAACAAAGAAGGTCTTAGCAAACTATGTAAACTCCAAAAGCGAGCTGCTAGAGTGATTTTAAATACAACTTTTTATACACCTACATCGGAAATGTTTTTACAAATGAGATGGATGCCAATTAATGATTATTTTATGTATAGAACTGTCATCCTTGTATTATTTAGATGTTTTTAAGTTTGTACATGAAATAAACAACAGAGCTACAAGATTGAGTCAAAGTAATTCATTGTACATTCCGAGGGCTAAAACAGAATATTATAGAAGATCTTTCACAATTTATGGTTCCCAGCTATGGAATAATAAAATTTTTTGCAAAGTTTTAAAACATCTTACATAAGAAATTAAAAATATGATAACCAATACACAAACCCTATTGCTTTATAATTACATTTTTTGTATATATGTGTTAAGTACCCTTAATGTGCCTGTAAGGGATAGAATTCAAAAGTTTGAAAAGTTGATGTAGATCCTACCTTGATTTAAGATTTTCTTATCTTCTTACTCACTTTCACTAAAAAATGCAAAAAGGAAATAGGACGGAAGTAAGCGATGATTTGGGAGCCGGTTGAAATATTAACAAGCTTATCTCTTAAAAAGATTGGTGAGCTAGCGTTGTTTCATAATAAAACACAGAAGACTGTTAATTTGATGAGTCGATCAATTGTAAATAGGAAGGCACAAAGTGTGGTGGGCGTCGAGTTGAGGGGATGGGAATGTGTCACAATATTCAGAATGGTGAATCTAATAGAAGGCTTCACATCGGCAATGGAATAACTCCTAACTGTGCTTTAAGCATTCTTTACTTTAATGTTATTTCAATTTCGAGGTCAGTAGAACCAATGAGCACCTTATTTAAAATATTCTAGTGTGGCACGGTTTTTTCAGCAGTTCTTCTCAGGCCTTATTCCGGCAAGCTCATCCGATATAAACCATATCCGAGGTTGTCGTGGTTTTCTGAGTTTACATGAAAGATTCATGAATGTGCATAAAAATAGTATTCATTTCAGTTTTAGAAATAACAGTCTTGGTTTTCATGAAAATCGAGTTACTGTCACTTTGTGTTTATTGACGTGCAGGTCATAGAATAAAACACAAATTTTCAGATCATACCGTGGTATGTATTCTCATATGATAAAAAGTAAACTGACCTGTCTTCCCCACACAATCTGAAAATATTTTCCCAAGCTTGCTGGAATTATACAGGAATACCTTAGGGTGGAACTGGTTGTTTTGTTTGTGTCTTGTTTTAACGTCCCTCTTGAGAATTTTTTAATTAAATGGAGACGCCACCACTATCGGGGGTTGCAAATTTTGTCCTATACTCGGCACTCGGGGCCATTGAGCACGGAGGGATCTTTTTCGTGCCAGCACCTAATGCGACACGAGACCTCGGTTTATACGGACTCATCCGATCAAGTAAGTAAAAATCCTAGGTCAGGGTCAAAGGGTTAAAAGTGTTGCTATCTTAAGAAAGGTATTAACGAGGAGTACGTATATGAAGTAAAAAGTTCCCTAGCTTTTACCATTTAAAAGTTATCTCCAATGTTAACGTCTTTTTTATAAAAGAAGGTCAATATCTACAGGCAAGGTTAAAAGGTCAAGTAGTTGGTATCTAATTGAAGGTGTTGTAACAAAAAATACATATGTGAAGTATGAAAGTCCAAGCGGTCAAATCTTATGGCCAAAGTAAGAGTTTGGTAGTTTTGTTTAAAAGTGTGTCAAACTCCACGTTCGAGCCAAAACATCAAATTTGGTGGAACCCAAAGAAAGGTTTTGTCACAAGAAATACACTTGTGAAACCTGAAAGCCATAGCCCCACTCAGTCAAAAGTTATGGACAACGTTAAAGTTTTTCGAACAAACAGACACGTTAGACGGACGGACATGGTAAAAGCATTAAACCTCCGAATCTTTGATTACGGGGGCATAAAAGAACTCTGTAAATATCTTCTTCTCACAAACAGCAAAGTCATTACCAATCACATCCTCATGTTATTTATATTCAAGTTGGGTCAATTCATTAAAATAAAGGGTAGCTTTCGCCACACTAGCAGATCAAGGTTTTATATAGGGATGCAAAGAAAACTCTCTAGAATTTTTTTTTTCAAGTTGTTAAGAAGAATCCTGACAGAACAGATTTGATAAAGCTTATTCAAATAATGAACCCCCTCCCCCGGGATAGGGTGTGGTACATGTAGAAAGGAAAAGCAGTACATTATTAAGTTTTGACTTTTATTCGGTACTTAGTAGTCCAGTCAAAATAGCCAAAAATATAAGCAATCATCAAAGAAATTGCAACACAAACTTTTTAGGGTGCAATGTTTTGCAAATACCACATTTTTCAAGATGTTCAAATCTTAAAGCTGTAGACTGTGCACAACCACCTAATTTTGGGGTCAAAAATAAGGATTTTGATTAAAAATCGCTAAAAACAGGAAAAATGCTACTCCTCCAACAGTTTTAGTCCGATTTCAATAAAACTTGATATACATGTAATTTGTGTTTAGATACACATAATTCTATTAAATTTTTTTTAATTTCCTCAAACTTTGTTGCCATGGTTACTAAATATAGAAATTTTCCAAAATGCTCCTCTTCCTCTCTTTCTGATTTAATATCAGCAAGGCTACATTAAAATACACTAAATTACATCACTTGGAAGAATAGTTTGTTTTACGCCTCGGTAATTGAAGATTCGAGGGTATATAATTTTTTTGCCCATTCCGTCCGTCTTTTTGTCTGTCTGTTATCTGTTTGTCTGCAAAAACTTGAATATTGCTCATAACTTTTCACTGGTAAGAGCCATGACTTCCATATTTCTCAAGTGTATTCCTTGGGACAAGATCTTTCTTTGGATATAAAAATATTTTTGACCTCTTGACCTCAACCTTGAAGTTTGACCTATTTTGCAAGAATTATCCAAACTTCAGCCTTCGTCATAACCTTTGAACAGTTGGTGATAGAGCTTTTATATTTCAGATGTGAATTCATTGTGACAATTCCTTTCCAGGGATATATAAAAAAAAAAATGACTTTTTGACCTTGCACTTTTAGTTTCCCCCTCTTTTAAATGACGTTTAACCTTGAGATAACTTTTGTAAGTCATTACCAGAGCCTTCATATTTTACTTGCGTAATCTTTGTGACAGGGCCTTCCTTTGGATAGCAACAATTTTGACCCTGGACTTTGATTTACTTTTTAAAAGCT